GAACGGGGAACGAGATTGTGCAATGCCCCCTCTGTCTCTCCACCTTTCAACCCCAGCTATGCTTACCTTTATCAAGAACCCCAGCCAGCCAACCAGCACCAGTCATTTGAGTTGAAGGTCAAGTTGTATTCTGGCAGAGAGACTGGCCAGACATAATTCAGGACAGTAGTCAGCTTCAGCAAGGCCAAGTCAAACCTCTTATTTAAATTGTTGTAGTTGGGGTGAATGAATATCTCAGTAGTGTTCAGAAGCTCCTGTTCCTTGTAGAGGTATATTTCCCCCACCTGGATCCCGTATAAGGCTGGGTCAGCATCCTGGCTGGGGGAGAACAGACCTTGGGTGGCTCAGAGGCAGCTGGTCTGGGGTAGCCCACCATCTACATCCTACACCCAGCAGTGTCTCACCTTTGGATGCAGTGAGCAGCAGTTAGTATCCACTGTCGATGGATGATGGAGCCCCCACAGATGTGTTCCCAGCAGCCTGTCTTGTAACTGTAAGTTCTCAGGCTGACCTGCCATGGCCACTTCTCCCGTTGGCTATGGTGGCCTCCCACAATGCCCACTGGCTTGCTTTTGGAGACAGATACTAAAAACAATGTGAACAAGTCAGAGAACAAGGACAAGCCTCCTGCCACCCCATCCTGGACCAAATGTTGTCACCTGATGTTCAGGTAAACCATAGGAGTGAACAGTTGGGTCCAGGATAGTGTCACTGATACAAAGCAGTTTTTGAGGTGTGTCGGGACTTACCAGAGGCCGTGAGCACAGGGCTTCCCAGGCAGGAGAGAGCCAGGAGCAATAGTAAGAACATATGCAGGGGGAATGGAGTGCTGAGAGTGCAAGGCCTCAGCCACCACAGGAACCAGGTACTACAGCTCACCTCCCTGGATGCCCCCCTCAGAACCCCTCTGTCCTCATGAAAGAATCCATTGGGCTTGGTGGAGCCTTCCTGCAACTGAGATGGCACTCAGAATATGGGCCTCTGTACCTCCCTGCTCTGGGCCCACAGTGCTCCTGGCAGGATCCCATGCCCAGCCCAGCACTTCACAGCCACGGGAGTGGGCCCCAAGGACACATCTGCCAGCATCTGAGGGCATTTCTGGTTTGGAGCCTGTGAAGATGCCACTGGCACACACTAGGTAGAAGCCAGGGGTGCTGCCAAACTCTGGAGCTCTTCATCACATATCTACAGTGTCCCATTAAAATGATCCTGGTTCTGTATTAGACACATCCCACCCCACCCATCTTTTAGCCAAAACAAGGATGCCAAAGAAGCTTCTAGACCTCAGCTGAGAATTTGTCAGTAACTGTCTCCCTTCAGTGTCCCTACTGTCCACAAAGGATAATCAGGACACCCACTGTTCCCTCCATAGGGACCGTCAGAAGTAGTTCAGAGCCAGGGTGGTTGGCGACTCACCTTGGCCCCGGAAACACCAGGTCTTCTCATATGAGAACCACTTACAAAGTCTTTGTGAGACCCCTCCAAAAAACAGGTGGGTGGGCTCAGATTGTCTATGGTACAGTCTTTTTGGAGACTCAGTGACAGAAGTAAATGTCAGGTGGAAACAAGACAGACAATTCCCACACTTCTAGGTAAGAAGATGGGTTTATATGCTAAACTGGACAAAGGTGACCCACAGCTACCTGGAGTAAATCCTGGCTTCCTCAAACACTATTAATAAGTCCAACGTCAGTAAAAAGACAACTTGAGAATCAGAACGGAGCAGGAAATGCTTAGATGACTATCTTAATGACTTTGTTTATGCTTCAGGGTTGGCACCGGTGCCAGTGTCTCCTGACAAGATGGAAGTGAAAGCCAACATGGACATGGTCAAGCAAAGCTAGGCCTCCTTTTTAGAGGTGGAACATGATCCTCTGAACAAATCACCTTCATCAGATTATCTCTACTGATTGCAAGAGGCTGTCACTATTATCAATTGTTGCCTGTTGACATTCCTTCAAAGAGGGAGCAGATAGGTTCTTTGGATCCCTGCCTGATAGTGCTGATCATTCTGGAGCTGAAGAAGCAGCTGATTGTCACAGAGTGCAGCACCACTGAAGTAAAATTTCCCTTATTTCATTGGGACAATAGGAACCTATTTCCTCAGGATCAGCACACAGAAGCTGATTCAAGGGAACCAGGCTACATATTGAGCTGGTCAAACTTGGCAATGTGGTAAGCATCGTTCTGGTGGTAATGGTGTTGAAGGCTGAAAAACACAAAGTTGAAGAGGTCGTGGAAAGCAGCTGAGGCTTGACGATTTGTGGCAGGGGCAAATCCCTGCAGAAAAGACATCGGTAATGGTACCGCCTCAGCTCTAGCAGAGACCCCACGCACTGAAGATACCAGGACTCTGAGCTGTTTGTCAAGGGGCACTACAGGTGTGGGTGGAGCTGGCCAAGGAGAGAAGCTCCGTGTTTAAGATGGCAGAGCAGGAGAAATGGGACTTCATGAGCCCTTTGGAGCCTAGAAGATTGTTCGTGAGTCCCCTATGTCAGACACTGAAGTACGGGATTTGAATTTATGCTGCTGGATTTTAGTTTTGCTTTGGTGTGACTTCCTTTATGCGCTAGTTCTTCTCTTTAGGGATAAGAAAAGTTAAATCTATAGCTTTAAAAAAATTGATAGGATCTCAAAGTTGAGAGTCTTTGGGGGATTTTTGGAGTTGGGCTTACTTTATGGCATATCAACAGATGAGACTTTTGAGACAAGGAGTGGAAACTTATGGCTTAAATGACATATTTGTGTATCAAACTGACAAGGAGTGAATTGTGCTGGTAGCTTTGTCAATGTAATTGTCTTAGTCAGTGTTCTATTACTGTGAAGAGAGACACCATGACTGAGGCAACTCTTATAAAGGAAAGCATTTAATTGGGGCTAGCTTATAGTTTGAGAGGTTTAGTTTATTGTCACCATGGTGGAGAGCCTGGTAAGGCACAGGCAGACATGGTGATGGAGAAGTAGTTGAGAGGTTTATATCCAGATCCAGATCCACAAGCAGCAGGAAGAAAGAGACTTTGGGCTTGGAGTAGGCTTTTTGAAACCTCAAAGTCCATCCCCAATAATACCTCCTAATCTTTTCAAACAGTGCCACTTCCTGGTGACCAAGTCCTCAAATCTGTGAGCCTATGGGGGCCATTCTTATTTAAACTATTACAGTGACACAGCCCAGAGTCACCTGGGAATAGAATCACACACACAAAAAAAATCTATCTCAGATTGGCCAGTGGGCATGTCTGCATGGTACTGTCTTGGTTGTTAACTGATGTAGGAAGACCCAGTCCACTGTGAGTGACACTATTCCCTAGGCGGAAAGAGAGTTCTGAACTGTATAAGAGAGGAGCAAGCTAGCTGAGAACAAGGGATGGAACAATTATCCATATTTTTATTCTCCTTCCTGCTTTCACTTCCCTGCAATAACAGATTGTAACCTGGAGTTGTGAGCCACACAAACCCTGTCTGCCCAAAGTTGCCTTGCCAGGATATTTTATCATAGCACCAGAAATGAAAGTAAAACAACCATTTTAACTTGACTGTGCTCTAATTGCAAATGTCCTCTGGATCTGAGAGGTATAGAATATAGTCTCTATATACTCAGGGAGGTTAACTAGATAAGGGCACCATCTGTGTGGAACCAACATCCCGTGCTGAGGGAAGACTTTCCAGGGAAGTTGATTTGGAGTAACCCATGCTTCAATAACACCTCACTTGTGCTCTTTCTAAGTAAGCCCAATAAACTAACTGGTTCCCCCAGGGTAAACTTTAGTGGAATCATACTTTTGAGGGGATAGACATTGTTTAAGTCTCTCTGGGGAAGGGACACTCTTAACAGGTGGCCTCCACCCAGGCCCCAGGGTCAAGGCCAATGATGCTGCTGAGGCCACTTGAACAAAGCTGGGCCCAGCCTTGGGTTTTCTATCATTTGTCTGGTTTGGGGGCTATGTTTGCCTGAGTGCCTTGAGTACCCTTAACAAACGCTCTACAGCTGAGCTCTCTCCACAGCCCTGGAGTTGTCTTAATCCTACCTAAAACTCAGCTTACATGAGGGGATGTGAACTTCAGGAGTCTAGTCTGCAGGAAGTCTCAGAGGGCTAGGAACTGAATTCTTAGGCCTGGTCATCCACTGATGCTCTCCAGTGCTCCTATGTTAACGGATGTGTCCCAGGGTCATGGCACTTCAGGGAGCAAGTTCTACCCCAGACCGGGTTTGAAAAAGAAAAAGAAGAGCAATTTTGCTTTGTTTTGTTTTTTGAGACAGGGTGTCTCTGTAGCCTGTCCTGGAACTCACTCTGTAGACAAGGCTGGCCTCAAACTCACAGAGATCCACCTGCCTCTGCCTCTGGAGTGCTGGGATTAAAGACGTGTACCACCATCACCCAGCAAGGAAGAGCCTTTTAATGCTTCTTAAATTTGTGTTAGAGTTGTGAGAGGTTTGTGAGCTTATTTTGCTTTGCCCAAGTGGCTACAAATCTTTCCAGCTCTCTCCAGTTTTTAATGTCACTTTGAGGACCTGCCACAGGCAGGGTTTTGCCTCCAGGCCTCTCTTGTTACAATAGGGCTTGTCTTGTTGTTGTCATCGTTTTTTGTTTGTTTGTTTTCTCACACAGGACATGAGATTTATCACAGAACATGACTTGGTGGGATGCAGGACAGTACAGTGGAAGTCCTCAGGAGAGCATGGGCTGCCATTTGTACAGGAGACCACAATTGGGAATATATTTCACCCCACAGCCATCAGAAATGAGCTGTCATCAAATTCGTTTGCATTAAACTTGGTGAAAACCCCACTTCTTTGAGGTGTACCTCCCAGTGGCCAGGGACCCTGACCCCAGATCAATCAGGGTCTCACTCACTTGTTCCTTATGCTGCAGTTTTGTTCATGTGGACATGATGAGCTAGACAATGCAAACCCTGACTACCGTGCCCTGGGGCTTCCCAAAGGCACCTGCCTGGAGCCCAGCTTACAACATTGAGAGCAGAGATGTTAATAACCACCAGAAAATTGTCTCCAAGGTCCCTTAGAGCAAACCATAAAGGCAACCTACACACATTCCCAAAGAGGCTGCTGTTTGCAATTATTTCACTCTACTTTCCCATGAGGAGAGGAACACAATTGGTTTAATTGGCTTCAGGATCATTAGTGTTTTGGGGCAGGGATTCCGTAGCCCAGGCTAGCCTTGAGCTCACCACAACCTTCCTGTCTGAATTTCTTGAATGCTAGGATTATAGTCATGAGCCACCATACATGGCTTCATTGGGGTATTTTTCAAGTCCTGAACAGATTACTTAATTCATCAAAGTTTCTGATGCACCCCCTTCTTCCAGAAAGCCTTGGCTCTTCCTTCTGAGACTCTATGGCCAAAATGCTCCATTTGTTTGTCTCCCACACAGGCACAAAGCAAGACTAAACCAATGATTGAGGTTTCCTAGCTTACAAGACAATGCCTACAGAGACGGATCATTGCAGGCCCCATGGGGGCAGAAGGGTGGTTTGCATAAATCGGTTGACAGACTGCTGATGGCTAATGTTTATGAGTTGTAATGAAAGAAAGCAATTTCCCTTTACAAATATTGGAACACACACAGTTGTTGATGGCATGTTTAGTAGAATCACCCCGCCCTGAGGTCAGGGAATGTAACCTTGGCAATGAGAATGTATCGTCATGGATGCTTGGGTTTGTTTGGTTGGTTTGGTTTTTGGTTTTTTTTCTGGCTATTTTTCGGTTTTTTCCAAAGCAACTGTGTACACCGAAACTTTGAAAATATTTTTGTTCTTTGGCTATGACAGAGACATCTTTTTGTCTCTTAAGCAACCCAGTTTCCTTCATCTTAAAAATAAGATGCTTACAAAGAAAACATGGCCAGGGGTGAAGCTCAATTAGTAGTACCTGTCTAGCAAGCATGAAGCCCTAGGTCCTGCCCCTAGCCCTGTATGATGTGGGCATGGTGTAAATCTGTGATCCCAAGCACTATAGAGGCAAAGGCAGGAAGGCCAGAAATTCAAAGTCATCATCAGCTAGGCAGTTGGGTGGAGGCCAGTGAGGGCTTCGTGTGATCCCATCATAATTAAAACACCATATCCAGGGGTGCCTCTGCATGGGGAATGGTGATCCCTCCAGCCATGTTCCCAGCACCAAGTGAGAGTGCCTCAGTCTCATGAGCACCTGAGGTGGAAATGGAGAACACCCAGCAGAGCAGGAAGCAAGACGTGATGGTCTGTCTGGCTAAAGGTTGTTGGGCTTGGCTGTGTCAAAATGCTTAGAGGACAGAGGAGGGTGACGAGCTCCTTGCTGGGCCTGTACCCGATACAGAGCAAAGTGGTCTGTGGGAGCAAAGTGGTCAGCCGTGGATGTCACCGTCATGAGGCCCTGTGTTGGGCCTCAGATGACAAGTTCATAGCCACTGAGGTAGAGTAGGCTTCCAGATTCCACCCAGACCCTGGCCCAGGACTCCAGGTCTGCTGGAGCCCTGTGTTGTGACCTGTGTGAACTCTGAGGATACTCTCTCACTGCTTGTCACTGAAGTGCTCCCCATAGAACCCCTGGGTCCAGCCCTAGCTGCAGTGTTGCAACCCATTCTGTAACTGGGCTATGCTGTCCCCACCCTGCCTCACAGACTGAACAAATGCTGGATCAACAGCAGGCAGGACCTCGTCTTGCTTAGGAGTATTTAGATATGTGTAACTCTGGCCCACTACTTAAGCCTCAGCTTCTCTTCAAGACCCAGATGGTAGCCTTGAGGAATTGGCTGGTTGGTTACTTTATCTTTCTTTCCAATATGGCCACAATTTAATAACCCTCCTTTTTTCTGCTCTTTACTATGAATTTGACCAGTCAGATCTACATAATGAGACCATTTAAGAAGAAAGTGCCTAACCAATGCCACTGTCCTTAGCAAGAGGGACACAACTGCCCCTGGACCTCACAGTTGGCCAAGGCCCAGCTGTGTTTACAAGAGGAAGAAAAAGAAGGAACACCCAGGGCCTCCAGTAAGGCTACCCGGCACTCCATCCCATCTCCACAACAGTCCAGCAGAGCTGACCACAAAGCTCCCTCCAGGTGACACAGGCAGTCACACTGTCAGCTCAGTGTGTGTGTGTGTGTGTGTGTGTGTGTGTGTGTGTGTGTGTGTGTGTGTGTGTGCATATGGCCAGGCTACCATCGCCTACCATCATCCCTGACTTGGTTGAGCGATGACTCCTCTCTGCTCTGGGTCTGCTCTGACAACCTGCTGCAGGCACACAGCTCTTTATCTCTGGTGCCTGAGGAGTCGCCTAATGCATCTGAAGTACTGAGGAGGAGATCTGGAAGCCATGAGAGTTAATAGCAGGTAGTGAGTGGAACAGGCCACCCAGGGCCAGAAGTATAAGCTATAGGGGATGTTTATAGCTGCTCAGCTGAAGGTAGCATGACCACATGATGCCTCCAGCTGGGAAGGAACAGGAGTACCAATACCCTGATTTTGGTAGCAGATCTTAGTCTTCAGCCCAACCACTGGGTGCTGGCCTCCTCTGCTTGTTCCTCACTAAGAGGGTGGTTGGGTAAAATCTCAGAGCTCTGTATAAGCAGTAGCCAGAACAGATGTGGGTGGCCATGGGGGCACCTAAATGTGTATTCCTGCTGATCGTGTTCTTTGTTGGGCCTCCTTTGGCCAACCTGCCATGGACACCTCCCTGGTGTCCACATTATCAGCCCCTTGGCCTGGGGTGTGAGAAGCAGACCAAGGAAAAGTCTAGGGCCTAGGAAGCTCTTCCCAGAGTGAGATGAGTCAGCCTGTATGGTGGTCACCCTGCTATCCTACCCAAAGTCAAGCCTGGTGTCGAGGACTGGGTTCCATGTTCATGGGAACATCAGGTGGGGTCAGTAGTCAGGGTAGGGCATGGGCACAGGTACCCTCAGCAGGGGACAGTCAGATCACAAGTGCAGGGAAGGCCTGGTGCTCAGCACTAAAGAGGAACCGCTGCATTCTCTGTATGACACCATCATACCCAGCTCTATCTGGGAGGAGAGGGCTTCCTAGACTCCTGGACAATCAGCCCAGGGCCCAAGCACCACCAACTCATGCAATCTAAGGGATTTTTTAATAGTTTAAGGAGTGAGGCTTCCCCCAACAAAGGAAGCAAGGTCATAGGCCCAGGGAGTTCCAGAGTTCTGGGACTAGGCCCCTGCTGAGCTGATAGGGAAGGTAAGGGACAAGGATGCTGGTCGGTTCCAGGGTCTCCCTACAGTGTCCCTGCCTCTCCCTATGAGTGTCTCTGATAGTTTCAAGCATGAGTCCCATAGCTACCTCAAGGCATGACCAGAGCCTTTAAACACCAAGCCTTTCTATTTGTTGAGTCAGGTCATGTGACCCTAGCCAAACCTGAGAGGCTGAACCTGTCAGGACTCCCAAGAGGCCATTCTTCAAATTCAGTGTAGCCTGCTGGAAGCCCCAACCTCCCCAGTGTCCACTGTGCCACGGGGTGCCCAGGAAGTCCCCATCCACCGTGGGTTTTGTGGACACAGGTATCCCAGTAGCCATTCTAGGGACTTGCATCTGGTTTTACAGTTTACAGAGAAATTCAAACTCCAGACTTAAAAAAAAAAAGTTTATTTAGGGTCAGCAAGAAGGCTAGATGGGTGAAGGCACTTGCTACCAATCCTGAAGACCTGAGTTCAATTCCTAGAACCCTCAAAATGGGAGGAGAGAACAAATTCCCGTAAGCTATCTTCTGACCCATGTGCGTACATACATGAACACACACACTCTTCTCTAAATAATAAAAACATAATGGCTGGGCATGGTGGCGCACTTCTTTTTTTATTATTAAAATGTTTTCATTATTTTTACATACCAACCACAGTTTCCCCTCCCTCCTCTCTTCCTGTTCCCTCCCCCCATCTCCCATCTACCCACCCCCATCCACTCCTCCTCACTTAAGAAAGGGTTAGGCCTCCAATGGAAGTCAACAAAGCATGGCATATCAAGTGGAGGAAGGACCAAGCTCCTCTCCCTGCATCAGGTCTTGTTCTTCTCTCGTATAATATAATATATCCCAACCACAGCCTCCCCTCTTTCCCTTCCTCCTGGCCCCACCCCACCCCCAGATCCACTGCTCCTCCATTTCCCTTCAGAAAAGAGCAGGGCTCCCAGTGATAACAACCGAACGTGCCCGCCTTGATATGAGGGTGGTACATTTCTTTAATCCCAGCACTTGGGAGGCAAAGGCATGCAAGTCTCTGTAAGTCTGAGAACAGCCTGGTCTACATAGTGAGTTCCAGGCCACTACATAGTGAGACTGTCTCAAAAATAGATAGATAGATAGATAGATAGATAGATAGATAGATGCAATTTTTTCACTTTATTATTTTTGGCAGCTTTGCTCAGATGTGGTTTACACACCATACAATTTGCCCACTTAGTGAGTCTAGTCCTCCTCATCATAATAGTGCATGCCTGAAATCCTAACACTTGGCAGGCTAAGGCAGGAGGATTGCTTAAAGTTCAAGGCTAGCATGGGCTATGAAGTGAGACACTGTCTCAAAAACAAATCACAAAGAGTGTAGTTGTGTGGGTTTCAACTCATGCCTGGGGGTGCAAGCCATCCTGGGGGTAACACTCCGTGTTACGTCATTTTCCTCACTCTGAAGGACATTTGCGCCTTTTAGCTCTCACCTCCTGTCCTGGTTCCCCTCCCTCACCCCTAGTGGCCACCAGCCCACTCTCTGTGGAGATCAGACCATGTGGTCCTTTGTGACCAGCTTCTTAGTCACCTAATAGAGAACTCCTTCCCACTTGGTGCCTACCTACCCCAGGTAGCCAGATGACTCCCTGATTCAATTTGTAGCTTAGAGACTACCTAACTGCCTAGTGGGTCTGTCCCCTGAGGCTGCTCCACCCAGAACTGTGGATATGGTGACTTACTCACACCAGGGCTTTCAATCTGTTGGTCTGGAGCTAGGTGTCCACAGGTAGACTTTGGAGAGCGCCCACCTACTGGATCACAGGCTACACCTTCCCCTGTACCCTCACATGTCAGATGGACAAGTAAGTTCTCTGGGGTCCCTGTTATAATCATTTCCTAATGTTTTCGAGGTAGAGGCTAGAACCTCAAGAAGCAGAGCTTGGCTACCAACAGTGCTAAGGAAGGGGAAGTCTTTCCTAGGCACTAAGTTGAGAGACACATTTGTAGGCCCCTGAAGAACCTGCCTCCTCTCGTGGCATCCATCTGGGATAAGGTGAAGGCATAATGGCTTCAAGGTGCCTGCAGAAGATTTCAAAGCATCATGGGTAGAAATAAACACTTGAGAGATACAGCTGGAGCTCCTTTGGTAGAGTGCTTGCCTAGCATTCACTAAGCCCTGGGTTTGAGCCGCAGGGCCACATAATGGCATCTGGTAGTGTATACCTGTAAATTCCAGCACTTGGGAGGTGGAAGCAGCAGGATCAGAAGTTCAAGGTCATCTTCAGCTATTTTATAAGTTCCAAGCTAGTCTGGGATACGTGTAACCCTCTCTCAAAAACAAAATGGGCTAGGGATATGGTTCAGTGCATAAACCACCTGTGCAAGCTTTGGGACTAGAGCTCAGATCCCCAGAACCCATAAGAAAAACCAGGTGAATGTGGCAGTCCAATTAAAATCCACCCACTCAAGAGATAAGAGATGAGATTCTTGGGGCAAGTGAGCTAGCTAAACCAGCAGAATGGGCAAGATCTGGGCTCAGTCAGAGACCCAGCATTAGGAAATTAAGTAGAAAGTGATGGAGGAAAGTACCTAATGTCAACCTCTGGCTTGCACACGAGTGTGCACACACACACATAAACATGCACATATGTTCATACAAGCACAGCAAAAATGCAAGAGAGGAAGAAAGAAGGAAAGAGAGAAAGAGAGAGAAAAAAGAAAAAAGAAAGAAAGAAAGAAAGAAAGAAAGAAAGAAAGAAAGGGGCTCAATTCTTTAGAATCTGAATGGCCACATGGGCTCAAAAAGGGGCATTTAGATACCACTAAATGAGGGCTGAAGTGGTGGAGAGTCCCCCAGATCTGAGCTCTGCCTAGGATTCCTGGAGTCTGAATAGGCAAGTAGGAACAGCCCAGGCCCATCCACATTGGGAGGTCTGGACTCCACAGAATAGTGTGGACTAACTTAGTGACTGTGAGAATCTCCTCTTCACAGCACTAAGAGCTTGAAGCCACTAATGGAGGAATGTCCCACTCTACCTGCTCAACCCCAACTCTTAGGGCCAAGCTCTGGGTCCAAAATTCAAACAGACATCAATTAGCCAATCCACCATTTAATGGGAAACAGGGTAATGAGGAGATATGGGCTGCCCAGCTACTTCTGAGAGATGTGACTTTAGCCCCACCCTCCCAGAGGTAAGGTACACTAGAGACTTTAGACCAGGAGCAGAAGGATTTTCATTATCATGGGATAGGGAGGGTTAATAGGGTGAGGCTTGACCAGAAGAAGGAGTGAGGGGGTCAACAAGAGTTGTTAGGGTCTCTTTCGTTGTATGAATCCCATCTGGCCCCATCGAGGGTTCTGGGAACTTAGGGACATAGCGGTTGATCCAGGATATGTAGTTCATCACTCGAGTGTATACACCAGGGAAGTCAGGAAGTCCACAGCCTCTGCCCCAGCTGACCACACCCACCTGGATCCAGGAGCAGTTCCACCTGCATACCAAAGGGCCCCCAGAGTCACGCTGTGGAAAAAGGCAGGAATCAGCACTCCAGGCATTCCATGATGCCAGGGTGGGTGGGTCCCAGTGTCCTGGGCCAGGAAGGGACAGAGGAGAGAGGATAGTCAGGCTGTCACCTGGCAGGAGTCCCGGCCCTCCATCCCAGCACAAAGCATGTCCTCTTTGATGATCCTGGTCTTGCTGTTCAAGGAAGAATTGGTCTGGTACTTCTGCTCACAATCATTGTTTCCCACAATGGGGACTGCTACTTCCCGTAGATGGTAGGGTGGTGGCAGTGGCACTGAGGAGAAAAACCAGTGAGAACCAAAGCTGAGGGCTTCCACCTCTTCCCAACAGTGTTGACAATGGACATTAGGTCTTCCCGATACCCACTGTTGTCCTCGATGACACCCCAGCCAGCCACCCAGCAGGTCTTCCTTGGGGAGACCTTCTGGGAAGCAGCAGGGAGGGTGACAGGGTGGACATGCTCTGACAGCACAACTGGGGTGTCCAGTTTCAGCAGAGCAATGTCTGCACCCCCCAGAGCAGACAGCTTCTCATAGAACTTGGGGTGGCGGATGATCCTGGACACTTTTATCAGCTGGTCGTTTTCATAGAGCCTCAGCTGTCCAACTTGGACCCGAAAGCCACAAGCCTCCAGTTCTTTCCTGGGAGACAGGACAATGAACCCCTCAGAAAGGCTGAAGGGTAAGGAAATTAATCTCAGAACATACATAGGGATCAGGAAGTTCTCAGAAATCCTGCCTCCAAATGGGAACCCTGCCAACAAAGTACCACCCACCTCCCAACGTCCATCTGCTCCCAGACAAGGGAATGGGTAACCCTACTCACGGCCGCACGCAGTGGGCAGCAGTCAGCACCCACTGAGGGTGGATGAGAGAGCCCCCACAGATGTGTTCCCATTTTCTGCCCTTCATGTCATAGAACCTCAGGCTGACCTGCCATGGGAACCGGCTGACTGGGACAGGACAGCCCCCGACGATGCCTACCAACTCCTTTCCTGAGCCAAGGTCTGGGAAAGCAAGTAGGGGCATCAGATATCAGGCAGAGGTTTCCAAGGCTCAGAAGTCATTGAGATTCCTGGCAAATTGACAGTCTGACATAACCCAAGGGGATCTGGAGCAGGAATCTGAGCCTGGGACAGCATAAGGGCTGGGGGTTAGGACTCACCAGGAGTCACAGGCATTGTGCTCCCCAGACAGGGGAGGGTGAGGAACAGCAGCCACAGCATCCCAGAATCACAGAGATCGCTGGTTCCAAACAACGGCTTCTGAACCAGGAGACCTGAGGGCAGAGGTCCTGATAGATAGGAACAGTGTGCTCCACTTTTGTCTTCCCTTGAGGCTTCCCAGGGTCCCATTTATCTTTCTCCCACAGGATGTGGGCATAGAATGCAACATCTGTACTCCAGGGGGTGCATGTTGTGGCCACACACGCATGTCATTGGGGCTGATATGAATTGACCAGTCAGTGCAAGACAGGCAGGGTGGGCTGTGGGGGTATGCCAAACTTGACAGGATGCCCTGTAGTAGGTAAGGCTGCAAACTGGATATTTGAAAAGAGAAAAACAAGATGGAGAAACTAGTCTGCTGGAGAGACTCTAGCATGATCTCCTTCTGTCCTTGGCTAGAGTAACCACCCCTCCACCCACTGAAACCTGGCACCTGGAGCT